ATAATCTAAAGCAAGTCAACCAACTACTGAAACGGGGCTTCACGATAAAAGGGTGGTGGACTCATACATCTATTCCCAAAGCTCAAATTAAAATGCCCCCAGAAATGTACCTATGAGCAGCTCACCAGAAATAGCAATTTTGAGATGCATATACATGTCAAAGTTCGAGGAGAATTTTCATGATTGGCAACACCAACGAAACTGGAGAAACATAATTTCCACCCGCCCTGGGAACTGTGGGGGTACTTAGGGCAGGAAGATATTGACTCAACACCATTGTTTGCCCCTTCCAGGGACCCAGAAGCTAACTGACCAGCAAATGAAGCTGTCACTCCCGATCTCATGGCAAGTTCTCCAAGCCAATCCAAACCCAGCCCAGCAGCACCCCTTTTCCAAGCTCATTTGGGGAACCTGCTTTCTGGGAGCACCCAGAGCCGTGGGGTGCTGTGTTCCATCCCGGATTACTCCCCAGCAAGATGAGAACCAGGGGATACCTGGGTCTCTGAATGCTGCATACTCCTAGTCTGGGAACAGGACAAGAGCAAGAGAAAGGAAAACAAAGGACTGACAGAATTCTACGGCACAGGGAGCAAACCCAACAGCAGGGCCATCAAGATCTAACCTCCACTCAGCAGCCATGGACTAGATGAGCGTCTTCTAGAAACGGGACCCTGCAGCTGGGGCTGACAAAGGGGAAATTATCGCAGTCCAAGAAAAAGCAAAGGTAGAACACAGAAGCTAAAGATTCTTTACAAACCCCGTGTGCCCACAGATTCTGGGCCCGCAAAGAACTTATATTGAGTCACAAACCAGAGCAGAACAAGGCAAAAGGGACCACAGAAAACACCTTCTAATGCAAAATAAAGGTAGCATCAGCTAGAAGCCTTGGGGGGAAAGGCTTTCTATATGTGTATCTCTATACATTACGACAAGAAACAGAAGAGATGCTCATAAATTGTGTCCAAGTTGGCCTCAGTAGAGCAAAGAGTTGAGAGAGAATAAAAACAATATGGCACCAGTAAAGCAGGAAGACAGAACCGTGAGGAAAACACATCCTAAGACTTAGCCCAACAGAGAGGGGCACGGTGAGATTATATCCTAATAGCTACAAACTGAAAACAACCCAAACACCCACTGAGAAATAGCACAGATAAATGAATGGTGGCATATTTACATATGACCAGATACTGTCCGTTAATGAAAATGAGTCCACTTCAGCTACCCTCAACAGCATGGCCGAGTCTCGCAAACATGTTAAAGAAAAAAGGCTGAGAACCAAGAAATAGATATGGCATGACCCCCCCCCCCAACTCTCACCCCCACCCTGAGCTGAAGGGAAACACAAACACCATGAAACAGTGAGAGTGAGCTGAGGGGGTGGGTGGTCGTCTCTGAGGCAGAGGCCCTGGAAAGGGCCTTGGGGTGCTCCCGGGGGCTGGTAACACAACTGTCCTTAACCTGGATGATGGTTACATGAGCGTTCACACTCAAGAATGTTACTAACTGCACATTAATACTTTTCCATATGCTATTTTGACCAAAAAGTGTTTTAAAAAGGAAGGAAGACAACCGAAATAAAACCAGGCTTCCAAGAAACTAAAACGTTCATCCATAATGAAAATATGCTCTAAAGGCAGTAATAAAAAAAAAAAAAAAACAGTTAAAATGACTGTAGCCCCAGTAAATCACTGATGTCGGAGGCAAACTCGAGAATGAACGCTGGAACGATGGGAGAAGAGACACGTGATGCGGAAAACAGAATGAAGACGTAGGGTTAGCAGGGAAGGCATGACATGCCCACACGCAGACATTTCCCAGAGGGATCCTGTGAGGACGGCGGACCCCAACGTCGTAGACATAACAGAGTGGGAATGACTAGATTACATCCTAACAGTCCCAGACTGGAGACCCAACGTCCGTCCTTCACGGGACGGATGCAGACTGTGGACATTCACGCTGTGTATGAGTGAAAACGGACGAACCCGAGATGGGGGCAAATTTTAAGGTTACGATAACATCACAAGATGACGCAACAGAGCGTTAAGAAAATGGCCTTTACACAATTATAATTCGCACGTCTAGTAAGACTCCACATGCTGCAGCCTTAGTAGTACAAGATCCTGCTAACAAAGGTTGTAGATAAAGAAACGCTCGGGGCAGACTGCAGATGCCCTGGGGAACGGACAGGGAACACGATGCTTCTTTATTTCCTCTTCCACCCGGAAAGCATCTGGGCAAACGCTCCTGTAATGAATGATGCACAGAACGGACAAATGAATAAATATGAATGAATGAATGAATGAATGAGTGTCTCCACCAATTCACCCCTGCCGAGCTTGTCGGGAGCTTCCTGATGCTAATCTGGCCACCTCGATGCCACTCTGCGTAATTTCCTCCGGGCTGTGTTTGAAGAGAAGAAACGGAGACTTCCCAGAGTCGTGTCAGCCGGAGGCAGCCTGCGTGGTGAGCGGCTCTTTCCACGCCGGTTCTGGGAGGGTAACGGCTCATGCACTGGGCAAGCGTGGTCCTTCCACAGAAGGAAAGGGGCATTTACCGGAGATTAACACTAGCTGGGGGCCGGGGCCGGGGACCCGTCCGTGTGGCCATCCGCACGCAGGGCCACAGCCAGCGCAGCGGGGCGGGGAGCGGGTGTGATGTGGAAAGACGGTGCCCGGCTAACGGGCCACGGAGGGGCTCTGATGTCTGTCAGCCTCCGCCACGTGAACCCCCGTCCCACACCGCGCGTCCTCTGAGGACAGATGAGTGGCCCCGAGGGGTAGGGCCTCTGGGCTCAGCTCGTCCCAGGGAACAGCAAACGGGCACAACCTGCGGCTGGTTTGCAGACCCGCCTGCCTGCTCTGAGCCCAGCGGCCACGCACGGCCCTGCCCAGAGCCCCGGACGCGCCTCACAGAGCGTGAACAGTCAGAACTCAGGGTTCACCTGGGCCCAAAGTAAGTAGGAGGAATCTTCCATCGGAAAATGAACGGCCCTTCTCCGAGCTGAGAGCCTCCATCACCCTCCCGACAGACACACGGCGTCTTCAGCAGCGGCTCCGGCCGGAACACCAGGCCGGACTCCACGGGTGACCCTGCAGGCCCCCCACGGCTCAGCCGGCCCACCTAGGCTTGAGGGCTGCGGAGTCTCCTCCGCTCTCCTCCCGCCCGCTGACAAGGCACCTTTCGGCCCCGCGCGGCCAAGTCCACGGAGGGAGGTTCCGCCGGGCACCCTGGGGGGACAAAATCCAGCCAGTGGCATGCCCTGGCCGGGGCCCAGATTTCACAGAGAAAAAAGCCGACGCTCTGAGAAGTCATCTGTTGATGATCCATGCCCAAGCTGAGAGGGAAGAGGCAGGGAAAGGGAAAGCCAGGACCTGGGAAAGCGGCGGGTGATCTCCGAACTTCCTGGGTTAGTAACGTCAGCCTCTTTGAGAGTTTTCCTAACTGGGGACTTCTGGCCTGTGCTCATGGCCTCTGCTTGGCGAGGCTTTTAGTCCCTCCCACGGGTGACAAAGCCCAGGGACGTATTCAAGGAAACACAAGTGCAAACCCACCCCCAAATCAACACACCAATTCCCTGATCCCTCCTAGGAGAGGGACCGCCCGGGGAGCTGGGGGGCCTGGGCCCCGCCCCACACACCCGCAGAGCCGCAGTCGTCTTGATGGTCACTTCCCTTTGGAGGCAGACAGCGCTCTACCACCTGCTTCGGGTCCTGCGTCTCAATGTCCTCTGGCCAGCGGAAGGCCAGGGGATCCGAGGGTCCGGCTCTCCTCTCCTCACCAGCCTCTGTCCGGACTGCGGTGAGCAGCTGCAGGCCCCAAGGCCAGGCTCTGCCGCTTGGCTCCTGCTCCCCCACCCCAGGCCTCCCCTGTGGACCCGCCCTCCAGCCTCTGGGGCCCTCCAGCCTCTGGGGCTCTCCAGCCTCTGGGGCTCTCCCGCTGGCACCTGTGAACAAGCCAGTCTTCTAGATAAGCAAGCAAACCCCACAGGACCAGGAAAAGCTACCAGATGACCCCATCCCCCACTTTCCTTAAGTCCTGCCAACTCAGCAGCAAGTGTGGCTTCGCCGGCCCAGAGCTGACTTTCCCCACCTCCTTCTTGGGCGTCACGGCCCTGCGGCTCCCACCCGTGCCCAGAGACGCACGCTGGTCAGACCATTCCCCTTGAAAGCCAGTATGTGGGCCGTCCGGGGTAACTCTGACTTCTCCATTTTAGGAAAGCCAGTTTCGGCCTCAGGCTTTCACATGGTGTTGCAAGGAGTACAGCGTTCCAGGACACGAGGGAAAACGGCTTCTGGCTGGAGCTCAGCAGATGGGGCACCCAGCAAACATCTGGCTGAGTCAACCTAATTCTCTATCCCGGAAGAAATAAATCCCTTGTTCCTCGTTTTAATGTGATTTTTTAATCAGGGGCTTGGCTGACCAGTGAGGCTACAGCAGGGCGGTGTCCCAGGAGGAACACAGCTGCGGTGTGCCCGGGTTTGTTCTCATCCCTACCCCTGCCCCGCACACCAGGGCCACGCTGTGTGACAAAGGAACAGAGGTAATTAAAATAATGGCTGTGCATTCCCAACTAGACGCGGCTTCCAGATGCTTCCGATCTGGGCAGGATTCGGAGCACCGGGGCCCCACGTCAAGACCGGGGCCCCACGTCAAGCTCCCCTACAGCTGGACCCCACAGAAACGACAGTGTGGAAACAGGACACGCTGCGGGTGATCAAGACTCCATCAACTAGAAAACACATTTTGGGAGTTGAGGGCCATCCCCAAGGTCAGTTTACAAAGAAACCAGAATATCCACCAGAGGGTTTTCAGGCTAGCGGCTCCGTCCCGCACAAAGTCGTCACTGGGGCGAAATCTGCCCCTGAGCTCCTCCCCATCACACCAGACTTAGACTTGGCCGCGACAGGTGGCCAGCGCCTGGCACTTTCATTTCCAAGCGACAGCAGCCTCCAGTGCCTCCCCGGGGGCGGCTGGCCTCCCCGACAGGGCGGGCCCCTTACCGTCCAGCTCCTCCACGGAGATGTTTGCGAGCTGCTCGCTGTCGCTGCCAGCGGAGAGAGAGCGGTTGAGGTAATTCCCCTTGTACAGCAAGCCGGCGGTCACGTGGTGGAAAGGCATCTTTTCCCTGTTCACAAGAGAAGCGGGAGTGGGGAGAGAAAGAGATCGTCATTCATTCCTTCTTTCCTCCTTTCCTTCCTCAGAGAGCCACCCTGGGTTCCAGATGGCCGGTGTCCTTTTTAACATGACAATCCCACTTCTAGAGGGGAAGGAGGGAATGCAGGGTCCTCGAGGTCTGAACCGTCCCCCAGACGATCTCAGGTTCTAGCGCTTTCTTTGCTTTACACCTCGCTGCATTTTTGCCGATTTCACCATGAATCTCGCAGACTGTGGGACCCCACGTCACCTGCCAGGCCTTTCCAGGTGAAAAGGAATCCTCTCTGCCCCTTTCCCCGGCCCAACAAACTCTCTCGTAGGCACTCATCGGGAATGCACATCCCAGGACCGTCGGGCTCCCCAGGGACCGGGCCTCCCAGCTGTGATGCAACCGGTCCACTCTTCCCAGGGGGCGCGGACAATCCACTCGCACAGCCCTCAAACCAGGCAGGACGTGGCAGCCCCTATGTAAACGCACGGGCGGCCTTCTGCACCTCGGGGAAGCGGCCCCCAGGCCTGGCTGCGGCGCACACACCTGCAGCCAGCGCGGCTTCGAAGCACCCCCGCGCCCCGAGACGCTCACCGCCGGCGGCAAAGGGGGCAGCACCTCCGGTGTCCCACAGCAAAGCAGCTCCCAGCAGCCTCCCGGAGAAGCAAAGCGTCCCTGAGGCCAGAGAGCAAACCCTCCAGACACAGCATCCCTGCCCGGCCCTGGCCCTGAGCTTAAGGGTTCCCGCGGGGCCAGGCAGGCTAAGGCAAGAGGGAGGAAAGAGAGTTGGTAAGGACGTGGGAAGAGCGAGTGCAGAAGACCCAAGACGGGGCGGTTAGAGAGCTGGGCTGCTTCTGAGCAGAGAGCCCACGACTCTCCTGGCAGCCCATGAGCTGCTGGGCACGTCAGCAAACGTGTTCCGCTTCCCTGTCTACCAAGGGGGCTAAGCGGACGGACCAAGCTTTGCGTGGATTGAGGGCATAGGCAGGAGGTATGGGACATTCATTACCCGGGACATTCAAGCAGAGGTGAGGGCCTCCCTGCCAGGGTTCTGTGGGAGAGAATGAGCCCTGAGCGCTCTCCCCCATGCTCATTCCCCGACAGAAGTCACCTGCAGAGCACTGTTTCTTACTCAAGTTTGCATCCGTAGGGAGAGTTGGGGGAGCTGAAGGCCCCCTCGGGGCACGGCCGAGTGACAAGGTGTAAACCATGGGAAGACAGCCGGTCCCCAAGGACGACCGTTCAGGACACGCACCCCTCGCTGTCCCTCCAACCACCCTCATGACAGCAACTGTCCTAATCCTGGGATGTTGGAGTCAACAGGCACCAAGGGGGTGGGGCGGCAGGGGGAGGCTCTGCCTTCTTTCCCTGGGACAGCACCGCATGACAAGGCCTGCAGGACCCGCCCGGCCTCTCTCCCTCTAACCGAGTCACACACCGGCATGTCCCTACTTGGGCTGGGAGCCGCTGACCCGCGAGGCTCCTCAACGTGCGGGGCCTGATCCGGAACACGAACCCGTCGTGGAGGACCTGGTTCCGGAGCACCAGCCTCCCGAGCAGCCTCAGCCACGCTCCGACGTTTCCCCCGGATGTTACACTCTCATTTCAATCTCGAGATGTCTAAAGTGAATTTATTACCTTCCTAAAAAATAGGCCACACTTCCTGACGTCTCTGTCAAAGGTGCTGTCCACTCATCAGAACTGGGACGTCTCTCACGAAGGATCTGGGCCCCAAAAGTAAAACAGACACGTGGCGGAGGCAAGAGCCAGCCGTCGGGCTCCAAACTGCGCTTGCCCCTCCGCGGGGAACGAGACGGACATCGACGGGCCCGTCACAAACCCGGGGTGTCCGTTACGCAGCACGACGGCGCCGATCCGTGACACGAGGAATGTCTTGGGCTCATTACGTTGGACCCCCCTCCCAGCTGCATCCATCTTTACACGTCAAAGAGAACACAAGAATCTGTCTCCGGACAAACAGTTCAATTACCATCTCGTCTTTTCGCCGACTTCATTTCAGGACAAACGTGTTTCCAAGTGAGACTCGGGTGTATGAGTCAGGACGGCCTCCCCTCCCCAGGGCCGGTCCTAATCTGGGGGCCTGTGCTGTGTTTGCTCAGAACACGGCGGGAGCCTTCCTGTGCGGCTTGGGCTTCCCTCCCAGCACCGGCCACAGGACCCTGTTGGCCTCATCGGCTGTTCTTTTAAACACTGTTTCAGTCGTATAAACCGGGAAGACACTCCTTTCACCACCTGGGGAGAAGCCCCCCCGCCCCCCCGCCCCCCCGGGAGGTCAGCCCACGGGCAGAGAGTGTCCCCATCCTGGTCGCCGCTCTTCATGCCAGTTTCTCCTCCCGTTTCACAACCGCCTTTCCATTGCTGACCTCTCACCTGGGGGTCTGATGCTCCCAAGGCGCCCCATGAATTTTTACGGCCACGGTAACAAGGTTATACTCGATGGAACATATCCAAGCCACAGCCCAGTTCAGTCACGGAGTAAATGTCCAGGACTCTGCAGAGAAAACTGGCCGCCACTGAGTCCCCCTAGACACAGCCGCATAATCTGCTTCTGGAAAAGGCTGCAGACCAAATCAGTGCATTCAGTCTGCACCAAAACGCCCCTGTCTAGTGGGAAAGGAAGTGTGCAAGAGAGCCACATGTATGGACAAATGAAGTCTCGTTCAAGAAAGGGGAGAACTAGGGCGCCTGGATGGCTCAGTGGGTGAAGCCTCTGCCTTCGGCTCAGGTCATGGTCTCAGGGTCCTGGGATCGAGCCCCGCATCGGGCTCTCTGCTCAGCGGGGAGTCTGGTTCTCCCTCTCGCTCTGTGATCTCTCACTTTCTCTCTCTCTCAAATAAATAAAATCTTTTAAAAAAAAAGTTAAAAAAAGAATTTTATTTATTTATTTGACAGAGAGCTTGAGGGGGCATATAGGGGCAGAGGACAGAGGGAGACAGACAAGCAGACCCCCCTCGGTGCAGAGCCTGGCCTGGGGCTCGATCCCAGGACTCCCGGATTATAACCTGAGCCAAAGTCAGATATGTGATCGACTGAGCCCCCCAGGTGTCCCAGAACACACTGGGTCATTAAGAGGAGGTCAGGAAGGACCTGGCAGAAGGCACAGGGCACCACGGTGCGGAGGGAGCTGGTGTCTGAGCAGCGGAGCCCAGGGGTCCCAGGGCCACATGCTGTCCGCAGGCAGCTCGCTCCCTCCGAAGGAAGGAGCTCTTTGCACGGAAGGCACCAGAACTGAAGAGGAGTGTGTTCCCGGACACCAGGGAGGCCGCTTCACGGTTTCCTCAAAGACCACGTATCAAGAGTCTGAAACAGAAAGGTGCGGTGGGGAGGGCAGGAGGGGGTGTGTGAAACAGGTGAAGGGGATTGAGAGCATGTGTACCTTTTTATTTTTAATTTAATTTTTTTTTTGAGAGAGAGAGCAAGCGAGCCTGGGTCCGGTGGGGGCCTGGAAGGGGCAGAGGGAGAGGAGAGAATCTTAAAGCAGGTTCCACACTGAGCCCGATGTGGGGCTCAATCCTGAGATGACGGCTGAGCCGAAACGGAACCCGCTGAGCCACCTGACGCCCCAGGAGCACCTTATCGTGGTGAGCACCAAGGGCCGTGGACAGTTGTTGAATCTCGGACACCGGAAACCAAAAAACACCATAGACTGACTATACCAGAAGTTACATTCAAGATAATACACAAATAAACAAATAAATAACGAAAGGGGCAGCTCCCGTTCTTAGGGTCAGGGAACGGGTCCCCGGCAGAGTCATAAACAGAAGAAGCCACTCATCGTTGTCCCAATGGCCCTCCTGACACTTCATTTCCTGTCTGCTCCACTGGGCCACCCGGCGCCCCCATATTTACTTAAACATGTAACATTCGAATCAGAATCCGGAGGAAAGCCAATGCTCCCCTACGGTGGGTGGGTCCCATCTGGGCCAGGGGAGGCCAGAAGAGAACAAAGAAGCCAAGGGAGAATTCCTCCTCTGGCCTGACCGCTAGGCTGGGACCCCATCTTCTCCCGCCTTCGGACTCAAACTCTGCCTAGAGCTCGCGCCCTTGGCTCTCGCGGGTCCCCGGCTTCCAGCCGCAGGTCCTGGGACCTCTCAGCCTCCCCAATGGTGGGAGCCAATCCCTTACAATAAGTCTCTCTCTTCACATCTTAGTGGTTACTTTCTCTGGAGAACCCAGACTAATACACCTTCCTTTTTCTTTTGTCTACAGGAGCTAGGACTCGGGCGCACTGCTGCAGGCTGACACTATTATTCTGGACAGATACCGACCCAAAATGTCCTTCTGCTGAGCCTCTAAACAATGTTCCTCCAAGTGTGGTCCGTGGACCAGGGCCAGGGAACCTGCTTCCGGCTGGTCTGCAGTGAGATAAGGACAGGATTTGAAAGAAAGCATAGAAAGTTTTATGGCAGTTTATAGCGTTGTCCCAACGCCCAAGCGTGTGACCAGCTGACTTCAGGCTTCAACTAATCCTTCCCCACAAACAGTTTGAGACGCGCTGCTCCCAAGTCCTTCATTTAGGCCGTGTACGTTTCTGGTCATTGACCGCTGAGAGGGGGTAATAAAATCTAGAGAAATGCATTAACTTGTGTCTGAAGCTTTTTCAAATAACTTAAGGTTTTTTATAAGTTTTTGATGGACTTTGGAAAAGAGGTACAAGACCTTGGTAGAAGTTTTTCTGCTCTGCAGGAACCCAGACCGTGCCTAGAATCTACTGCAGACTTCACGGAGGTTCCCGTCCTCTCATCACCAGGCATGAGAAAGAGGGGCAACATCGAACTTGCATCAAAGAGAACCGAGCCAGCCCCAACAGGGCCTTTGCCAAATTCCCCTAAAAATACCTGTGAAGGCACACAAAAGCAACGATACTCCCCATAGCACCAAGGCCATGGTGTGGCATAAGTTTCCAGAAAGTCAGCCCAGTTAGGATCAGAATGACAACCAGCGGCCACCCACGTTTTGAA